TCTTCTCTCTTGGTGAATAGACAGACTTACTGACTGTACGCAACAGTACCGGTGTAAAACTTGATGATGTTGATGATGATGACGAAGCCATCGCAAGCAATCAAACAAAACAAGCAGGAACGAAAGGTACGTATATGTTTGTAGGAATATGAAAAAAAGTTACTCACGCACTGCACAAAATTCGCAAAATAAATATTAGAGACGTTAATTACTGCCGTAGACGCCGAAACACCAACGAGCCGTAAATTAAATGCGATTAAAAAATGTACTAAACCAAAAATTATTTTCGTTCGTAACAACTTCACCCTTTCAAGGCAAGTTTCGAATACAAACTGAAGCTTTATATTTAATGAACAAACACCTCAGGAACCTCCGCCTAGGATTTTACGAGTTTTACGACCGTTTTATGACTTGGGCCCTCATTTTGTGCTATCGACAAATTATGAACGGACTATAGTGGTAAATGATTGAATAATTTTCCACCTTTATAAAAAATGTAATCCTTGATTAATGTTGAGTTAGGTACGGAAAGTCTGATATTAAATATAGTATTACGAGTAGCATAAGAAGAAGAAACAAAGTCAAACTCCGTTTTATGTTTATACACCAAACGTAGTTTCAAGAATAAACAGTACAACGACAGTTGAAATCTTATTGACCTCAAAATACTTTCTGCATGATTCCCTAGGTTTGACTTCACAGAGACACCTCACTGCTCTTTTTTGCAATATCAACACAGAAGAGAGAAGAGATGCACTCCATGTTCCCCAAAATTGTATTCCATATCTTATTTGGGACTCAATTAAAGCATAGTAAACCGTTTTGGCTCTGTGAAAACCTAACTCATTAGAAACCATCCCCACTGCATAACATCTGGAGGAAATTTTACTCTTTTCTCTACTGAGTTGTATCATCCGCGAAGAGAGTAAATCTGCCAGATCATTAAATCATTATATATATAACAAAAACAGAGCTGGACCTAACACAGAACTCTGTGGCACACCAGATGTAATTGCCCTGCTTTCTGAGAAGTCTGATGTTCCTACCATTTGACTTCGACCTGAGAGGTACAATTCGAACCAACTGTACGTCACCCCTCTGCAGGGGTGATAAAACTAGTTTGATCTTTTTTTTGAAGATGATCACTTGGTGATCGAAACACGTGTCGAGGTGTTAAAATAACGATAACGGTGTTGGGAAAAAACTCCAGTAATATTCATTATGCAAGCAGCTCAATCATTTGGTTTATGTCTGTCAATAGAATTTTAATGTTGTCCCTGTTCATATGTTCACCATCTGTTCACTACTTTAGACTTTCTAATTCCTAACGGTCTAGAGTTGTCATGATTTGACTACGTAATACGGAATAGTGTGAAAATAACTATGCTAAAAGTGAGGATGTAGGGTGAACAGGTCACGAAATACTGTCCACCTGAACAAAAAAGGGTTGTAAAACAGTAACTTCGGCAGCAGACAATGCTTAGTGATTTAAATATCATTACCCGACACATTTTGTCTTGCAATATCTATTAACGTAACATTTCTAGGATCTTTTTATTTTTTATTGTAGGGGAGTTGAATATCCATAAATGTCAAAATTATTGGCGTTAGGTATTGTGAATCTATTTGAGAGGTGAAGTCCCACATGTCTGGAAACTATTCACATTTTCACTCTACTCAGTTACGAACTGAGACTTGTCTGTTTTCACGAGGGGAAGATCAAACTGATCTTCCTCTTGAAGATGATCACTTGGTGATCGAAACACGTGTCGAGGTATTGAAATAATGGTGTGGTGTTGGGAAAAGACTCCAGTAATAGACAAAACTAAATGATAACTGTGATAGTAATCGACGAAAATCATAGATGTATCGATTTTTGTTGAAAATCATAATAGTCTGCCATAAAAATTATCAAGATATTCAAAAAATATATTTTTCCATTCCTTGCTTATAAGATTCGAATTAACTATTTGCACAACTTGTCAGAAATAGTTGATCACTCTGGATGGTATCACTAGGAACGGAAAAACATATCATTCATAATTCTTATGAAAAAGAAAGAGGATTTAAATTACAATGTATAATGAAATAGGCCCAGATTATTTCATATATATTGAATTAATAATCCTTAATCTCTGAATTCATCAGAACTGTAGAAAGTCATAAACGGAATAAGAAATGAAATACTAAAGAACCATTTGCTATGTTCCTGGAACTAGAAACCATGTTTAATATATATCTATCAGGTAATTTTACCTAGGACCCATTTGAAAAATTAGATGAATTTTCGATATCAACGAAAAGGCAAAAACCGCATTGACAAATGGAAAAAAATTAATCTAAATAATTCAATAGTCCATTTTGTGAAGGTCTGACGTCAATTAAAAAAATATCTCATTACTATCAAGTTTTTTCACGCTGATGATACAAATTTTCCAAAAATTTGTTTTGAATACATATTGCCACACTTCTTTGGAAAATTAACTATAGAGAAAAGTCTCGAAATTTAATTTTTCAGTCACGCATATACGAATCTTCAATATATATTCAAACCGCTACTAATACTTATTCATTATAAGCTTATTTTGTCTACTAATCGCCGAGTTAATATCTGCATTAGTTTCGTATTCATCAACTAACCATTACATAGATTTTATTGTCCACAGGTATGTCACACAATATCGAAGGAATAGGCTGATATCTTAAATATTTCGACTCCAACTACTGTTTAGATTGAGGTAACTTCTGGTGGTAGCACTGTGTGAAGATAATAGTTAACATAAATAGGCCCATGATCCAACTCTGACTATAGTTTGTGAAATAGACTTGGTGTAACAATATCGTTAGTGACAGATAGTTTGGAATTTTCAAATATTTGGTGAGAATAACCCAATTTTTGATGTACTTTTATATCAAAATTTGATCTAGTTTGATATAGAAAAGGTTTTTATTAGTCGCGGACATCTGATAAAATATTTTTGCTGGAAATATGTCGAAAGAGACAAAGGAAAAGCATTTTCCGCCAAGCGGAGACTGCCAAATCGTTGGAGTCGTCAGCAGTAAGGAAAACGATTTATATGATGTCGAAACCAGCGATAAGTTTGTGAAAATAGAAATTTCTGAAAAAGGACTATATGCTATTATGAAAAGAATGATTTCTAGTGATAGTGACTCGGATTCAAATGATGACACAAGAAACTCCATATCAAATGCTAAGACAAGAAACTTCATATCAGATGATGATTCTGACTCCGTCCACAGCAATAATTCGAAACATGGAATGAACCTTCTAGATGATAGTGACTCGGATTCAGATGCTGACGCAAGAGGCTCCGTAGCAGATGCTGAGACAAGAGGCTCCGTATCAGATGATCATTATGACTCAATTCACAGCAGAATTATGAATTATAGAATGAAACTCTTAAATCATAGTGACTCGGACTCAGATGCTGACGCAAGAGGCTCCGTATCAGATGCTGAGACAAGAGGCTCCGTATCAGATGCCGTCACAAAAGACTCCGTATCCGATGATCATTATGACTCAATTCACAGAAGAATTGTGAATTATAGAATGAAACTTCTAAATCATAGTGACTCAGATTCAGATGCTGACGCAAGAGGCTCCGTATCAGATGCTGAGACAAGAGGCTCCATATCAGATGCTGTCACAAAAGACTCTGTATCAAATGATGATTATGACTCAATTCACAGAAGAATTGTGAATTATAGAATGAAACTTCTAGGTGATAGTGACTCGGTTTCAGATGTTGACACAAGAGGCTCCGAATCAGATGCTGAAACAAGAGACTTCGTATCAGATGCCGTCACAAAAGACTCCGTATCAGATGATCATTATGACTCAATTCACAGCAGAATTGTGAATTATAGAATGAAACTTCTAAATCATAGTGACTCGGATTCAGATGCTGACGGAAGAGGCTCCGTATCAGATGCTGTCACAAAAAACTCCATATCAGATGATGATCATGACTTTATTCACAGCAGAAATAATTATTATCGAATGAAACTTCTGGATGATAGTGACTCGGATTCAGAAGCAGACTCACGAGACTCCATATCAGATGCTGACACGAAAAACTTCGTATCAGATGATGATTCTGACTCCGTCCACAGCAGTAACTTGAAACATGGAATAGAACTTCTACGTGATAGTGACTCGTATTCAGATGCACACACAAGAAACTCCATATCAGATGCTAAGACAAGATACTCTATATCAGATGCTAAAACAAAAGACTCCGTATCAGATGTAGACACATGGGAGACCATATCAGATGCAAGCCTAAAAGACCTCGTATCAGATGAATTCTTATTCTTATCATTTGAAGTTACATAGGAATGATTTTTCATAATTTTCAACTCTGTTTGAAAAATTGTTTTAAATAAATGTATTATTTATGAGATATTTGAAATTTTTGGAGGCATTTTTATCAGTGATGAATATTATGATTTTCAAAAACAAAATCTGTTCTTATAAAAAAATGTTTATTGCTTAAAAACGCATTTGTTGATTAACAATTTTTTGCTACCAAATATGAATATTGGGGAACGATTTTTTTTAATTATGTAGCAGATTTTTTTACAATGCTTTGGACGGAAATATAGCCGGTCTATAAATGTTTCATCTATTTATGATTGCCTAGTTCGACTGATGTTCGGGAGCAAACGAAAATTATTTCTTTTACGCTGGTACTGCGCTTCTACTGCTCTCATTGATAGAGGGTGCCACGTATTCTACTCTTGTGTTAAAATGTTTTTAGGTTCGAATTGCAAAAACTAGTTGAATGCCAGAACGGAATTATCTGATTCTACGAGTGCTTTTCAGTGCTGATTTCTCATGCAGAAACACCTCTGGTTATAAATGTGCTTGGGGTTTTTATATAGTAAAATCTCGAAGATTCTGGCTTGTACCTGTATTTTTTTTAGGTACGTTAACCCAATTATGTGATCTTGTAGTTTCCCGAATTTTATCACATGAAATTTTCAAGTGTGGCAATTGTGTTTTCCATTTGGAAAAATATGTATCTTTTGTAGCTTACGAGGTGAATACTGTTTCCTCTATCAATCTGAAGTTCCGGGCTAACTCAGAACAGACAGTAGCTAAGGAAATCCAAAGCTTTCATTCCAAGAACCCACAAATCCTGGGGAATCGCGCCGACCCTGAGAATATACAACCCATCTTCTACATCTATAATTTCCATTTTCTCGTTGATATTTGTAAAAAAACNAAAAAGACTATTCTTGTCAAGAAATCTTCAAAAGATTTGAAATTCTGATCTGTACAGATCTTTACATATTTGAAATCTGTATTTGTGTTCAAAAATAAGGATTTGTTTTTCATAAATGAAAATTTCCACGAATACAACACACGTCGTAAGGATGATTTACGATTACCACTCTCTAAACGCAAAATTTCCTATAAAGCTCCAGCTCGAATGGGGGCAAAGATTTTCAACAACTTACCTTCCTCTATCAAAAGCTCAAAACATGAACGTACTTAAAAAAAAACTCAAAGGATACCTGGTTGAGAAATGTCTATACTCTTCAAATGAATACTTTCAGCTTGAACTTTTATTTAATGTGAATCTGTTGTTGTAAGTAAGTCAATATTATGTGTACTATGTATATGCATATTTATTATGTAAACATGTTTTTTGTAGTGTTGTATAATCCCTTATGTAATGTTATTTTCCTTTTGTACATTCCTTCATTTAAATCCCGACCGTACTATCCTGCGATTGTAACCATGACTTTTTCTTATACAACTACTGTTGTCTTAAAGAAATAAAGTGATTTGATTTGATTATTTGATTCAAGGATCTCTTTTCAAATTTCGGATATCTTTAATATTCTCCGAGATATTTGCAAGAAACCAAACCCCTTTTTTTACCAAATTGTTCACAACTTACAATCATAATTTTCGGTGCCCTTGGACATAAGTTCCAAAAAAGGATCTTGTAACCCAGACTATTATAGAACTTATCGCTAATCTTCATTTCATCAGAAAAGCGCTGCAAATCATTAGCCTATTTGAATAATCATAATTATTATTAAAAGATAATTCATAAAATGTCAATACAATCGAAAGTTATCCAAATCAGTGATTTTAATTATAGAATATAGTGATGTTTTGTAATAATAACGATATGTTTCATTAACCAACAGTGAAAACATTCGCAGAATTTTTTTGAAATGACTTTGTAATAAAAATCATGTATTACAATTACAAACATAATTGTTCTGAATCTTTATTCCTGTTGTTAACAAATAGACTGGTTTTCAATTCATCGTATTTACAGATATTCTCAAATTTGGATTATGAAAGTAAGTTTTTTGAGTTAGGTATGTTTATTTTCTGAAAATAAACCTATATCCGTTGAATACTTTTAATCTCAGGTGATGAAAATGTTTTAAATCCCAATTTTTTTTAAATTTCGCCTTTAAACGAACACTTCCGTGTATATTAATTCAAAATCCAATTACGAAACCGCGAATCGAGGGATTGTATCAGATTATACACTCGTCATTTGCCTATACAAAAATTTCAAAAATTGTGGATTCGTATACATTTCAACTGAATAAAACTTGAAACACTGGTTGTATAACTTTCGAATATGAATTTAATTGGTTCGGACTTCCATTGTCTAATATTATATAAAATGAATTGAAATCCCTAAAATAACTAATTCAAATGAAAAATTGAAATGATATTCATACACTTGTTTCAAAAGGGTCTTATTTTTTTAGTTTATATTATCAGAAAGAACCTACATATTTTTATTAAAAAATGTTATTGTAGTTATTTTCCCACATTCTTCATTTATCACTTGATGACTGAGAAGTAGAAAGACAAAAACTTTTTTCACAAAATACCTCCGATTCTTTATAAACTTTTATCAAAAAATACCAACTCCAAAACTTATAAATTTCCTTCAATTTTGTATGTAGTGTAACTATAACAATTTCCAAACATGAAAGTAACAAAAAGGCACCAATCATAACTTAAATCACCTTTATTTTCTACATAATCATAATTTTAAAAAATCAATAGAAGCTCTTTCATCATGCAAATGAAAGAATATATTCAAAAAATTAATCACCATCTGAGAGTTTCATGTTTCTTATAGCTTGCCCAAAACCTTCAGACATGACATCTGTCTTTACAGTGACTCTGTTGCGATTTCCAGAACCTCGTGAAATGCATATATTTCCATAGTCTTTATTACAGCCTGCCCATTTAGATGCATTGATGCCCCTTCCCGTAGTTCCTAAAGAGGTCTTGGACCGGACGAGTTTCATAACTGGTGGGCTATCTCGTGGGCTGCATTGTTTTCTTTGAGCATATAATCTCTGAAACACGTTCGAAGAATTAGTTTCCTGGCGGCTCCTTGTCAACATTTTGTCCAAATCCGGGGTAGAAGCCCTGTGAAGACGAGGTGTAAACGGTAAATCTACTGGTGCATCTTCTTTCGAGCTGGATTTTCCTTTTGACACTTTTTTCTTAACCGGAGTGTTAGTACTGAAAGGTTTCAATATCCTTTCTTTTTGGTTGAGATTATTCTGTGCCACACGTCCTGTATTTATCACGGTTCTGCAATCTTGAGAAATCTTTCTCCCAGTACAGAGTCTTTCAAAAACATCATTTTGTGCCTTTAGGTTGACAATAGTGGAACCAGAAGAAATCGTTGGTCGCGGTTTCACCCCTCCTTGGTTAGTGTGTTCTGTCGTTACAGCTAGTAAACTTTTTGACTGTGGAACGGGTTTCTTTGGAATAGGAATCTTCGACCTTATGCTATCGGTTTTCTGTGTCGGGTTTAGGTTCTCGTGACTTTCTCTAACTTGTGACTCGATTTTGCGTAAAAGGTGCTTCACAACACCCATTTTCTTATCACCATTTGTTCTCTGTTGGTTTTTACAGAGCAAATCCAAGGTGTAGGCAGCAACAACTTTATTGTCGTAATGTCCTAAAATGCTTTCCATTTTATAAATATGTTGTACTCACTTCTACTTACAAACTGAAAATGATTTCCTTTTGCTAACTTGTACGTATTTATTGAAGATTTGGTAATTAGTTCGGAGTTGTACCTGATATGTTGTACCTAGCTGGTTCACTTGAATTTGCCAAATTTCTTGGAAAAGAATGTTCATACCTCATTTTCATTGACAAGAAATATACAAACCAACTGAAAGACGTATTTCCACTGGTAGACGTGTTTCTAATTTTTCTAGATGATGAGAAATTTTGAAATACATCAGACACTTGCTCTCTACCGTCATCTATTCTGAATTGAGAAGAATAATAAAAACTTTAAATTCTTCGTAAATGTTTCATTCGTGTTATGAATTCTACCGAATCTATTGAGAAACATTTGATACTTACCCAATTGAATAACACAAAAAAAACATTAAATCAATTTGAGAAACATCTATTCATTTTTTTGGGAAAGAAAGTTTTTGGCTTTCTACTACTCCATCTTGATACAAAAAAAAGATGTGGGAATGTTCCAAAAACTAATCACTGCTAAAAATATAACCCCTTCAAGTCATCTATTTATTCTTATCGCTTCGGGATATTTTACGGAAAATGACTGAAACTTTCATATACTTCAACAAGGTGAAACCTTTTTAGCATGGTGTTCATGTTTCTTTATAAAATGACAATCAAGAAAATGTCCCACTTAGTCTCAGAATGTTTCTTAATTTTTTATCAGCTAATTAGAAAGTTCATAATGAAAGCGTGGAATTTTTGTTTTTTTTATGATTTATGCTAAACAAAAAGTTTATTTCTGAAAATTTGATTGTTTTCAAGTTCAGTTCTAATTTTCATTCCTTTTGTTTGAAAAATTATTATGAATTAATGTTTATGAGATAATTGATCTTTTAATTTCCAAACATTGGCGCAAATAATACATGAAAAATCGTTCTTAAACAAATTTTTTCTATTGTATTGAATTTGAATAATTTTTTAACTTTCTATATTTGGAAGAGAATATAAAAATTAGTTAATAATTTCTCAATGGGATATCGTATTGTGTTCCAATCTTTCGTATTCTGGGGAAAATCTGTTTTAAATCTGTNAATTTATTTTGAATACATATTGCCACACTTCTTTGGAAAATTAACTATAGAGAAAAGTCTCGAAATTTAATTTTTCAGTCACGCATATACGAATCTTCAATATATATTCAAACCGCTACTAATACTTATTCATTATGAAATATAATTCTCCACTGTTGCATATTAGGTGAAAGAGGCAGAAAAAAACAAATACAGGCTCTTCCCAAATCGATAACGTATTCAAGAAACAATTTATTTAACGAACAAAGCAACCCAAACAAAGATATATGCATGATCAAAGTATGATCACTATGCACATTTGCATCTATTGAGTAAAATAAACAAGCTTCTTTATGCTCCCCAATCAGATTCAACTGCAATCGGCTGGCGGAATTCATTGTTACAGTGTCGAAGTGTTCAAAAGTCGGAGTATTCAAAACCTCAACACGTGTTGTAGTTTACAAAACTGCAAAGTGTGTTGCGGTTTCATAAACTGTAATGAAAATTTACAATAAAGTATTTCTTGAATAACTCAGGGAGCTGATTCTGAGAAAAAAAACGCTGATGAATGCATGTCCTAAAATATATCGTTCAGGATTTAACAGAATGTTACATTTCCAGAATTTCTTCAATTTGATCATACACCTTGTATATTTAGGATGCTTTCAAGTAGAAACTTGACATACACCATTCTCTTTTCAATGTTGATGAAAACGCCTCTTAGGAACTATCAAACTATCTATAGGCTGATATCTTAAATCTTTCGACTCCAACTACTGTTTAGATTGAGGTAACTTCTGGTGGTAGCACTGTGTGAAGATAATAGTTGACATAAATAGGCCCATGATCCAACTCTGACTATAGTTTGTGAAATAGACTTGGTGTAACAATATCGTTAGTGGCAGATAGTTTGAAATTTTCAAATTTTTGGTGAGAATAACCCAATTTTTTATGTACTTTTATATCAAAATTTGATCTAGATATTTGAATTTTGGAAAGTTTATTACAAGAAATATATTGTTGTGAATATTCAATACACGTTTTCAATATGGTAGTTGCACCATCAGATGCACAGTCCATAACACCGAGTTCAGAAAAATCAGATCCGAAAAAAACTCAAGATGCTGTTCCAGTTGATAATTCTTATCAAATCAAACCTTCCCTAGAAGTAAAGTTCAAAGAAATACGTGTTAAAGAAATCATCAGAAATGTAGTGTCAAGTTTACTTACGGGAAAAGTATATGAACCAGAGAATGTGAAAAAATGGACCATAGCAATAGCAAATGAAATCAATGATAAAGTGAAATATTTGGAAATGAAGAGATACAAACATATCGTTCAAGTAATACTCGGTGAAAAAACTGGAGCTGGAGTCAAATCAGGTGTGAGGTGTCTTTGGGATTCAGACGTTGATAGTTTTACCAGTGAAATATTTACGAATGATACAATAAACAGGTCACGAAATACTGTCCACCTGAACAAAAAAGGGTTGTAAAACAGTAACTTCGGCAGCAGACAATGCTTAGTGATTTAAATATTATTACCCGACACATTTTGTCTTGCAATATCTAATAACGTAACATTTCTAGGATCTTTTCATTTTTTATTGTAGGGGAGTTGAATACCCATAAATGTCAAAATTATTGGCGTAAGGTATTGTGAATCTATTTGAGAGGTGGAGTCCCACATGTCTGGAAACTATTCACATTTTCACTCTACTCAGTTACGAACTGAGACTTGTCTGTTTTCACGAGGGGAAGATCAAACTGGTCTTCCTCTTGAAGATGATCACTTGGTGATCGAAACACGTGTCGAGGTATTGAAATAATGGTGTGGTGTTGGGAAAAAACTCCAGTAATAGACAAAACTAAATGATAACTGTGATAGTAATCGACGAAAATCATAGATGTATCGATTTTTGTTGAAAATCATAATAGTCTGCCATTCAGTAAATGGCGAAGTTTTATAGGATATGAATTAGAAAATGATGAAATTAAAATTTTATATAAGTATTACGAACTCATTGGTGAATATATTTTCACACTTTTGTTGTCGAGCTCATTGAAAGAAATGTAAGAACCCTCAGTTACTTTATTTATACGAAGCACTGCCGAAAGCTAATAAATTTCTACAATTCGAAATGACAAGAGACGTAAATTGAAAGGGATAGATTGATTTTTGGAGTCATTGTGTTGTTATGTATATTTATGTACCTATTCTCAACTTTTTTTCTACTATTTCTCCTACTTCGATCACACTATTGAAATCTTTGCACTGACCGCTTCAGGACTTCTTTACTTTTGTTTCCTTTCTAAAAATTCTTTTCAATACGAATCTGGCCATAAAATACACTACATAAAAGAGAGCAAATACTACGGCTAATAAAAACGCTATCACATCAAACAGTAAATATTTATAAAATGGCATATCCACCGCTGCAGTTCTTATATGGGGAGCTCCTTTATATTTAGCTACATATTCGATCCAATATACGGCTGTATCCATTGGAGACAAAGGTCTATCTTTGAATCTTTCCGATAGTGCAGATGCGCTATTCTTCAACCTGGAACAAATATAAATATATTCGAATGAAACCGTACCAGTAAAAACAATGAACAGAACACCAGTTCTGGAAGTTACCATTGTACCAAACTAAAAGAAATTTCACACTGTTTCTGGAAACAACTTACTCTGTGCTCAAGAGTCTTTTCAAAGCTTCTAGTACATTATCTTCCGTCGCTCGATGAAAATCAAACATGAATCCACCACCTACAGCTTCCAGAGCTTTCACATTTGTGAATTGATCGCCAAATTGTGGAACAGCCATGATGGGTACCCCGGAATGAACAGCTTCTAAGGTACCCAGAAGACCTCCATGGGAAATGAAACCTTTCAGGTTAGGATGAGCTGAAAATCCAAAAGTTTTCAATAGTAACGTTCAATAATTTTGAAATAAGGATGGTCTAAAAAGATACAAGACATTTTTTTAAAATTTGTTTCAACGTAGTCTCCTTTTAACTCTACATATTCTTCCGGGGATGCTTCCATCTGTGTAACCCGTCCAAATAGTACTCGGCGTTCATCTCTGCAAAATAATTGTTCAATTGCCTCTTCATTTGACAAAAATATACAGGGTGTTGATTAAGTACGTACCATAAATCTAACAGACGATTCTTTAGGTAATTTCAAGACGAAATGTTCATATAAACGGAACGAAATGTTCATATAAACGAAACGAAATGTTCATATAAACATGGATCCGCAAATCCTTTGTTCTCAAGATACAGGGTGTTAAAATAAAAATTTAAAAAAAGTTATTCGTAAATATCTTAAATATCCTTCACCTAATTTTGTTGTAATTTGTCAATGGTATTTATAACATTAAGGAATTGATTTATCCCGAACGTCATTCAATTTATTAAGTCCAGTGGCGTTTCGAGCGGGATTTGAACAAATATTTTTGACTTAAAAATGTACTTGTATTTTTATAGCACGATTTAACCACTTTATTCGGCTTTGAACACAGAGCTCACGACAAACGTGTTTACTCACTGGCAACCATGACACGAATTAAATGTTTCTTATTGAAATTATTATTTTTACAATGTTTCATTACTAATTATGTAACATTAACAACAAATATTAAATAACATTAACGTCTAGACTAACGAATTGCACTAAATTAAGTGTTAAATCACATTTGGGCCGAAAATAATCCACACGCCTTGATAGAAAATAATTTTCAAGAACAGTTTTCTTTTAATATTTGGGTTGGAATTGTCGGTGACCATCTCATTAGGCCTCACTTCCTTCCGACTAGACTTTATGGAAAAGAATACCGAAGGTTTTTAGAATTTGTCGTCCAGTCATGGAAAGATTCCGTATGTGGTATAGTCGAAGTAACCGAGATAGTAATCTTAAAGGTATCGGCGAAGTCAAAGGCCAAAAGAACCAATACAAAGGAATTATGCCGCAACGAATTAGTCCACGTGGACTGAAGAATTGGCGGTTGGTATGGATAATTTTTACTAACCGAGTTTTATGATTGGCTGAAGAGTCATTAAATTAAATTTGAAGTCATGTTACGGTGACCAACAGAATGTAGCGATGAGTACCGCCGTTGTATGTGTTATTGAAGGGGAACTGCTGGAAGGTAGGGAGCACTATATCTTTTACTTGAACTATACATGCACGATGGTGCTCCACCATACTTCAGTGTAGTGGCACGGCAATTTTTGGATGGAAATTACCATAATCGCTGGATTGGGAGAGCAGGCCCACACCCATGGCCACCTCGCTCGCCCGAAATGAATCCCTTAGATTATTTTCTCCGGGGACACCATGAAGCGTTGATTTACAAAACTGGTATTCAAAGTGATGAGGATTTACGGAATAAAATAATTAATTCATGTGACATAATGAAAAAAAATACGCCAGGTATTTTCAGAAGTGTGCGAATTTCAATGATGCGGCGGCTAGACGGTTGTATTGAAGCCGAAAGAGGCCATTTCCAACACTTAATTTAGTGCAATTCGTTAGTCTAGATGTTAATGTTATTTAATATTTGTTGTTATTGTTACATAATTAGTAATGAAAAATTGTAAAAATAATAATTACCAAAAGAAACATTCAATTCCCCATATTATTCCTTGTTAGGTCCAGGGATATGCAATTAGGTCGACTTTTTTTTCTTAAAAATTAAGCAAGATACGAAAAAAATTCAAGAGACAAAATCGTTGTATTTCTAATTGCTTAATCCAAAGAAATAATGAAAATCGCGCAAAAGTAGTGGCGTACATTTTTAAGTCAAAAATATTCGCTCAAATCCCGCTCGAGACGCCACTGGACTTAATCAATTGAATCACGTTCGCACTAAATTAGCTCCTTAATGTAATAAATAGCATTGCCAAATTACAACAAAATTAGGTAGAGAATATTCAAGATATTTATGAATAACTTTTTTTTTAACACCCTGTATGTTGAGAAAGAAGGATTTGCGCACGCATGTTTATATGAACATTTCGTCTTGAAATTACCTAAAGAATCGTCTGGTTAATTTATGGTACATACTTAATTAACATCCTGTATGTCCTTCGAGCGCAATTTTTGGATGAGGGAGCGAAAAGAAGTCGCTTGGGGTTAGATCTGATGAGTAAGGTGGTTGGTCAAGCAGTTCAAGCCGTAATTCGTGGATTTTCTTTTTCTGCAAATGTGGCCGTTTTCCCCCAAGTTATGCCTTCAACTTGTCAAGTAATGATGTGTATTATGATCTTGTAATGGTTTTTCCTTTTTGAAGATAATCGATTTAAATAACTCCATGACTGTCCCAAAAAACAGTCGCCATCACTTTCCTAGCCGAAAAAACAGTTTTTGCTTTTTTGGAGTCGGTTTCCCCTTTGCAGTCGTCTATTTGGACTGTATTTTTGTTTGAGGCGTATAATGGTGTATCCAAGTTTAATGTACAGTAATTAATCGGCGCCAAAACTCGAATTTATTGCGTCTTTACTATGCCAACAGAGCATTGGAAAGTTTCAAACACGTTTTTGATCTAACGTGAGCAAACGCGGCACCCATTTTGATTCAATATATGACAAAAACGTTATTTTGACATGTTCATAACCTCTGCCATCTCTCTCACTTCAATTCGGTGGTCGTCTAGCACCATTTGGTGAAGTTTGGCAATGTTTTCGTCGGTGGTTGCAGTTTTATGGGCGTTCCATACGTTCATCGTCTCCCAAGCTCTTACGGCCACGTTTAAATTCAGATGCCAACAATTTCAGTGAGGTGAAAGATGGTGCAGATTCCCCATACACAGAATCCAACTCATCTTTACCATTACAGTATTTCTAACAGGGTTGCTTGAATATCTGTCTTTCCTAAGTTCCATATAGTTTTAATCAACCGTTATCAAGATATGTTGTTCTTTTATAGATTCAAATATTGATCGTATTAAAGGAACACATTGAAAAGTGAAATAGACCTCAATATTATCAGTCAGGAAATTGAGAACTCTGGTAGTGCTTCTTTGTAATATATCCATTCTTCGACTATTATAAACTGAAACATCAGTAACGGAAAAAGAACATTAGATTTTTGATGTTGTTAGTCACAAGTTCACGGAGAACATCACTATATTAAATTCTAAATTCTCACCTAAAATATCTCTTTGGGGAGCCCACCTCAATATTTTAACGTTATTTGGTTTCTCTGGAATATCCACTTCCCACTTCAGAATTACTCGCTGTTTTATACGGGAAAAAGCTTTCAGAAAAGCATCTCGCTTTTCTTTGGGCAAACTATGGCTCTTTAGGGTAGAGCCCAGACTCATGTAAATGACACCGTCTGGTGATTCATTCATGAACTTCATCAAATCCTGAAAAGTAATCTAATGAATAATTTTGAAAACGGTTATGAAGAATCTTAAAAAAAACAATTCATTTTCACTGCTGAAAATGCACACACCATTTTTTGTAAAAGTGTTAACAGGTTTGGAATCCATGAAAAGAAAATGAATTATCAAAATAATAGTGTACCAGGGCCAAAGTATTTGGAAGAGATTGTCATTGATTTTTATTATTTCTGAATTATTGGCATTTCACTCATTATTATCAGGTTGTTTTGTCCGTTATAATGTCATGTGCTTTTGTAGCTCCTTACCTCAATAAATATTTAGTCTACTGTATCGTGGTATACACTGATCGATAGAGAATTTTGTACTCTATACATCGATGTAGTTGATTTTTTCCAGATTTGAATTTTTTGCCTATTTTCAACTCATCATTATACGATGTCATTGGGCGATTTCCGGCCAATTTTTCTCTACGAATTCAGATTGAACCAAAACGCTGCCGAAACAGCCAAAAACATCAACTAGGTCATCAACTGGTCAATGATACTGTTCTCTGTATCTCTAGAGTAGGGAGGGGAGTGTAGGCCCACAGCATTCAGGTCACATATGACCCATTGTACACCCTTCCAAAGAGTTGTTCTCCTAGGTCATCGTCCATCCTATCTTTTCCAGGAAGGGGGACAGGTCTCTGGGAGACATCTCCTTTATATCGGCAGGTGTAGGCTAAGACTCGCCGAACACACACTCTCTTATTGACGATAACTCCGGACATTTGCATAGGACATTTCTGACAGTTTCAACTTCCTTTTCACACATCCTGCATAGAGATGTGTCCACTAGCCCCATATTGTGGAGGTGTTTCCTTAGTTGACAGTGGCCAGTCAGAAATACTACTGTTAAGCGTAGATTTTTCCTGGTCATCGCCAGATATTTCTTCGGTGCCAGCTTCCCAGGATCGCCAAGGGTGATGCTGGCAAGATTGCATCCTTTGATTTCATCCCATCTCTTCAGGGATTGAGCATGGGCCGCTTCCTTAGCTGTAGAGTCGGCAATGCGATTACCTTTACTCCTGTCGTGCCCTTTAATCCACCTCAGGATATTGTTATTATCTACCGATGCTTTAGCTAAATCTTGGTGGCACTCTGGTACTATCCCTGAGGTAACACGTTGTCTGTTCAAGGTTAGTAGGGCTTGTCTGCTATCAGTGCACATTGTTATGTTTTCGCCAGAATTCCTTTCCTTGTTATTTCTTTCGTGGCAATTGAGATACCAGCCAGTTCTGTTTGAACCACGCTGGTGTTTTTTTCCCATTCCCTACTTAATCCTTAGGCTTAATGATTTAGAATACACTCCACATTCTGAGCCTTCTTTGTTTTTTGAGCCATACGTATATATGCGTATTGCATTTGTAGCATCTGACTCTGTGTTCTGTTTTATTTGTATTTTGTAGGGTTCATTAAACACAAACCTGGATTCAATTGCATCCCCGGTTGCCTGTAGTAGAGGTTGGGCAGTAAGCGCTTTTCGCCATAGGCTCAGCCTCAATTGACCCATTCCTACTTCGAGGTTTACACCAGCCGTACGCAATCGTAACATAACATGGCCATTGATGCAACATCCTTAAAGTACTGGTCCGGACCAGTAATTATTTCCGTTGTCGCGGTTGGTGTTGTTCTTATGGCTCCTGTGATGTTTGAACAAGCCAATCGCTGAATTTGATATAATTTTTGGATAGCCGTTGCTTGTAGAACTTTCGGTCCCCATGCAATGGCTCCATACGTTTACATAGGTCTCATTACTGCAGTGTAGATCCAGGTAACCACACGGGATGAAAGACCCCATGCGCGTCCCACTGTCCTCCGACATTGCTCATGAGCCACATATGCTTTTTTTGCTCTACTATGTAGGTGAGAGTTCCATGTTAGCTTTCTGTCGAGGATAGTACCAAGGTATTTTACCTCTTCAGAGAAGTTCAGTTTGCTTTTGAAGATTTCAGGAGGTTTTAATCCCGATAAACTTCTTTTCCTGGTGAAAAAGAGCATCTCAGTCTTCTTGGGATTGATCGACAGTGAGTGTTCCTTACACCATGTTTCTATTAATTTGATCCCATCCCGCGCTCTATCGCACATTGTGTTCACGAATTTGCCGGTCTGCAAGATATCTATGTCATCTGCATATGCAAATGAGTAGAATCCATTATTGTTGAGGTGATTGATTAGGGTATCCAGAACTATGTTCCAAAGAAGGAGTGATAAGACCCCTCCCTCATGACCAGGCCTCTCACTGTGATGTCTTCTACATTGACCTACTCACTGCTCTACTAGAGTGCATCTCAAGTATCCATTCTTCTACTACCAAAGGTACATTCCTGAAGTGTAGTTACGAAGGTTGTTTTATCAAACGCTCCCTCGATATCTATGAATATACCCAAGATGGATTCTTTGTTGTACAATGATCTTTCGATTCTGCCAATCACATGGTGAAGGGCCGAATCAGTAGACCTCGGAGTATATGCATGCTGATTTGGATGAAGTGGGTTGAGAACTAGTACTTACTTCATCTCTTGTGTACGGCTCACATAGCCTCTCGATAGTTTAAAAAAAACGATAGGAGACTAATTGGTCGGAATGATTTTGTTAATGTGTAGTTCATCCTACCTGGTTTGGGTATAAGCACTACTCGTACTTCTCTCCACTTACTGGGAATAGACCTCAGAGCCTTTAAGAAGAGCCCCGAAGTGGGCGACCAGGAGAAGGATTTCAGGACCCTGGTGCGAGACTAACCCATTAAAAACAGTGCGTGGGATAGCGGTAAAACTGGGCTTCAGCTCCCATGCGGTTTCTGATGCTGGCATGTTTCACAAATCACCGTCCAAAAATAAAAAAAATTGAGCGTCAAAGTTCCGCCCCATCCATCATACTCTCCAGATCTTTGCCAACAGACTACCATCTCACCGGTAGACCCAATCAAGACCAGGCACAAACGGCCATCGTCGACTTCATCAAATTTTGAGCACTCAATTTTTATGCTAACGGAATTGATCAACCTATTTCAAATGGGGCTCATTTCGATTGAATCGAATAAATCTTCATTGAGGTATTACAGTTTAATAAGACCCAAATCTTATGGAACAACTAATATTACACTGAAAAGGCATTGCTTGATATGAATTTCCAAAGGAAATGTCCAAGGAATCTATATGGTTGAAAGAAGCTGTAATATTTTACAGATATGAAAAAAATGGTTCATTTGATTTTCACCGTACTGCCACGGTGAACAACAAACAACTTAATGGAAAATCCGAAGCACCATCGCAATAAAAAATACAGATCCTCATTTGAAATTTCAAAGGGGAAAGTGCCTCAAGTGAGAAAAATTTCACGTTTTCGGCTCGAATAAGCTAGAATTTGAATAGCCCTCTAGATTCGAGAAGAGTTATTGGATCTTCAAATAATCAACTCTTTCAAAAATACAGTGTCACCATTAAAGTGCGCACCATATGGGAAACTTTTTTTTCGAAAAGTTTCAATGAAGTTCAACTTCGGCACTTGTTTGTGCTTTAAATTTAACTCAAGATTATGCGGCGAACTGCGACCCACTGACGTTCAGTGTTTGTCAAATTCAACTTTTTTTTTGAAAAAAATTGAAAAAGGGCATTTCTAGATCGAATTTAAAAAAAAGGTACTTGAAAAAGTTGTGTCTACGGCAATTTCATATCCATATGCCAAATTTTATGCAACTAGGATAAAGTTAACGTTTTGCTTATTTTTGACAGATATCCCCTTCATTTTAAAAAACAAGTTCGGTTAATTGTCATCAATTCATGTATACATAACAAACTCATCATGGAGTTTAACTTCTCTCATAAAATTTTACTTATACGGACATTTTTAGAGAGAAATTAAAAATGTGCTATAAAAATTCATTCCGTGACAAAGTTGTGATTTATAAATGAATTGTGTATTTATTATTATAATGTTATCCAGATTGGTACTCTCGAAAAATCGAATTTTTACATTTCATTTAATATATTGTGTAGGAATCCTGTCAATGCTATCTGATTCAGTTCCATGACGTATGTTTAGAATACAAACTTAATAGAGAAAAGTGTTTTTTGTATAATTCAGTGTTCATATAAAAGTATTTGTTTCGAAACAATTTGTTTATATGAGAGTAGCTGGCTTTTTCTTCCAGTTTATGTATGAAAGTTACTTTGCATGATCTACAAATCTATGCATGCAGTTACTTCTTCCGAAATTGATTGCTTTCTTCCTTTCTTTGGAAGATTCCCACATTTTTTTGTATCAAGATGGAGTAGTAGAAAGCCAAAAACTTTCTTTCCTGAAATTATAATATAGTGACTTACATCTGGCAATGGTTTAGGATCTTGAACGTGAATTCCACCAACTTCTATGACAGCAGGAACCAAAGGTTTTGGTAAGTTCAAACTGAAGTGCGTATTTGTCAACATAATACTGACGTTGTACATAATATCTCCTCCTTCGAGTAAATCTGAAAGAAATCAATTTGAAAAGTTTTATAATTAGGGTTTTCATTAACCTTGTTTGGGTATTTTCACCTACGACAATCTGAAAAATATAAAAATTGTAATGTACTCGATACAGATGTAGACTTTTGAGTTATCTCCGATAATTTACTGTGAAAATTCAATCAATCAGAAGAGAGCTAACAAATTATACAGATACTTTTCTTAAAATGTTTCATAGGCTAAAATCTGCCTTCGTCTTCAGAATTGGAAAGAATTAAAATATATTATCAGTTTTCTCTTTGCTGATTCTATTCATTTGTAAATTGTGAATTATAATAATTATATATTAACAATGAAAAGAGAAATGAAAATTTCTATGTTTTTTACCACTTTTAATTATAATTATATGGACATTCTCAAACTAATACAATAAACTAACAATGATTCATTACATTCGCCAATATATACTATTCAGGTAATTGCTTGAGTACCTGAATTCACAGTTCACAATGCGGATGTGCCAATTTAAAAACCGGAGAGTAAATTAAATCGATTTGATCATTTAATAGGTTGCACCCGCAATGTTTATGCTTGTAAATTTCCAAGGATTCTAAATAATTGAGTTTGCAACCCTTCCTTGCATACTGCAGAATTTCCGTATCGTTGAGATTCGGAAACTGGTGGTTGCATACCAAGGAATGGTTTAAAAACGTCGAATCATTTTTTCCTAGTCTGAAGGACCTTCCATCTTCAGCATACCGTTTTTGGAAATTTCGTCCGCATTGTCCCACATAAACACTATTACACTCCGAACACTTAAGCTTATAAACTCCAGATTTTTCCAACTTGTCGACCTTATCTTTGTCATTGAAAAGGAAATTGAAATTTGGGGTAATCAAATTAATGCATGAATACTTTATTTTGAAGTGAAATTGACAGATGAAACTTTCAAGATAGCGACTGGGAGCCATTTGGGAAAAAAATTGAATGGAAAGGAGGGTCTTGTGACACATTATTTTGAAGCTTCTGACGAATACTTCACAACCCTAGAATATGAAGTCAATATCTTCACCTACTACAAAATGGCGGAACATTTAATAATTGCCTGAATACATTGACATTTAACTACATAATATGAGGTAATAAGCTTCAGGTTAGTTCAAAAGATGCTCGAAATGATTGCCTTGAACTTCTTGACATATGAACAGCCTATCCGATATTTCGAACATTTTCGAACACAGTAACGTCAGTATCTCTACCGTATTCTATTCTCTGTCGTATATCCAATATTGAAGCAGGTTCAGTTTCGTGCTTCCAAAAGCCCCATAAAAAAAGTCCAAAGGTGTCAAATCTGGCGACCGGGCTGGCCATTCTATAGGACCTCGACGGCCAATCCAACGACCGGGAAAAGTAATATACAAATAGTTTCTCACTTGTCTGGAGTAATGTGGTAGTGCTTCATCTTGTTGGAATACAATATCCATATCGAAATCATTAGGATTCGCTTCGACGATTTCAGTGATGAGAAGGTCAACAGTAGTTTCCAGCATATTCAAATACAGTTCCCCTGTTGAATTTTGATCAATAAATAGAGGTCCTACAATATGGTTTCCCAACATTCCTGCCCAATCGCTAATTTTTTCTGGATATTGGGTACGTGTTTCCCGGAAAACGTGATGGTTTCCGTCATCATATCGCAGAATTCTGTTCTTCAATCAGGGTCATCTTCAGTTAATTGTCTCCATACAGTAGAAGGAGACACCTCACAAACATTCGCGACGGAATAAGTAGACTGTTCAGGATTTACTACCATCCCACCAATTATTTGCACTTGCTGTTCTTCCGAAATGGAGGGATGACCTGGGAGCTTTTTGTTATGTACACTACCAGTAGTTGTGAATTTGGATACAAGTTTCCTTAAATATTTTCTACAGATAGGACGATTCGGAAAACGTTCATTGAAAATCCTTTCGGTCTCGGTAACGTGTCTCACCGTAAATAAAAATCGCTTCAATTTTTTCTTCCAATGGACGAGAATTGACCATTTTAGAGATTGTTGATGTGGTACCTTTCTACTAGTAAAACCGAAAACTAAATGAGAATATTCTAACTGAACAATGATGTTCATTGTCGTCTTGACATTTTTTGTCGTTTTTATAAACAAAAAATAATTTAACAAACATGCGTTTTTGTAAAACTGCTTAATGAAAATCTCACAATAAAGTGTTAAATACTTTATGATGGATATCCATCATATATTTTACTTGTTTTTGTGTTCCTATGTAAAAGGAAGTACATGTTCATTATTTTCTTGTTATCACTGTACATTCCATTGTGTTTGTTGTTGTTTTCGGTGGTCTACTTTCACAATCGTTCAAAACAAATCATTTCATTGTTATTCAACTTCATAAACAATATGTATCTCAGTTAACAACCGATAAAAGTACAATAAAAAAACTGAAGGTTTATTTTAATATTTTAAGTCGATATATATCTAACCAGACTAAATGTTGACAGTAACATTCCATCATCATTAGCAAATTGTTGTTGATCATGAAAAATAGTGACACGTTAACTGAAGGAATGCTAACGAATGAATATATTTATTTTGAAGCTTTATCTATGTAAAGTTATTTCTCCAGCAATCTCAGCATGAACGATAGCACTCCGATCTCCGATAGGTTGGGTATTTCTGTTTTTCAGAATTGAAGCCTTCAGGTATTATGTATATTTTTGAGAGTAGCTTATTTTTTGAGTGTGTTCGATAGCGATATCATGTGTTTTGTACTTGTAGCTAGGTTGAAAAATAGGAGGTGACACGTGAAAATTTATGATTCATTGAATAATATAATATGTAAAGCATACTTGTTGTTGAAAATTATTTTCAAAAACCAATTTCGTGTATCTTCTATTACATTCAAAAAGTATAATCCATCCCTTACAATAAATACACGATTGCTGTACTAATTGCTGTACTAAAGCAATGTCGAAAATCGTTTTGAAGAATTTCAATTCATAGATAACAGATTATATTTCAATAGCAACATGTTTAGCATCTCATTATCTGACACAATTCCTAGATATTTAATACATACTTTCAATTTTGCATTCATTTTGGTAACCCTATTATCTAGGATAATCGATTCAAAATGAGGAGATTAACATTCAAGTTCCTGGAAGGTATGCAAAAGGTATGCAGTGTAATGAAAAAGTCCCTTTCAATACTCATCTTCTGGTTCGACCAATATTTGTTGCTATATACAGCGCGATGACTGTTGGTTAGCCGTATTTTGGGAAATAATAGGATCCATATCCAGGAAATTGGCAAATATAGGATTCTCAATATGTTTCATGGAATGAAAATGAAGGCGCTCTTTCAACACTTCCGGTTCTACCGGAAATTTGGGAGATTGAAATTAAAGCATGAATACATTATTTTGAAGTGAAACTGACAGGTGAAACTTTCAAGATGATGACTGCGCGCTATTTCGGAAATAATTAAATGGGGGGTCTTGTGACAACTCTTTTTGAAGCTCCTGACAAATGCTTCACATCCCTAGAATATAATTTCAATATCTTAAATTACTACAAAATGGCGGAAATTTTAATAATTGCCTGAATACATTGACATTTAACTACATAATTTGAGGTAATAAGCTTGAGGTCAGTTCAGAAGATGCTCGAAATGGTTGCCTTGAACTTCTTGACATATGAACAGCCTATCCGATATTTCACGCCGAACATTTTCGAAGACAGTAACGTCAATATTACTACAAATAATTATTATTCTCAGCCGTATATCCACTATTGGAGCAGGTTCAGTTTCTTCAAATAACCCCATAAAAAAAGTCCAAATGTGTCAAATCTGGCAAGCGGGCTGGCCATTCTGTAGGACCTCGACGGC